TGATCAGTGTACATCATAGCAACCGGTCGTTCTGCTGTTTGGTGAATTTGCCTATTACCTTTTGGATATAGGATAGTCCTTAAGTACTGTGTTGCATTCATTGCTATTATAAGTGAATTATTTTCTTTCTATTTATTTTCTGTCTGGCTGGTGTTTGGATATAAAAAAAGCTGGTTGCCTCATTGAAACCTCTTTTTGTTTAAGTAGTTTCCCAACTAATCTCTTGTTTTCAAGTATAGAGTCATCTACATATTACACAGCTGAAGTAACTAACAAAAGGAAGAGAATGAGCTTCAGAGCTCTGATTTTTACCAATATAGAACCTGCCTCTCCTTTCCAATTTCTATACTTTCTTTTATCTAGTTGCAACAGCTAGTACTGTTCTTTTGTTTGTGTGAAGGTATGGCCTGTTTGCTACACCCTAGAATGTTGCACTTAAAATCTTTTAATTTATTAAAAATTATTTTAGAAATTACTTCAGAAGAAGAAGGTTCTACCATACAGTGGATATCATCTGTGGAAGCAAAGATTGAAGATAAAAAGGTTAAAAAAGAAAATAAACTAACTTCAGGAAAGTTGGAGCTTATCAGAAAAGAAAAGGTTAGAAAAATGTCTTAGCCCCAATTTCTCACTTAGTGACTTTTTTTACTGTCCTTGGGTTACTCTGTGGGTAAAAGTGAGTATGGTTTTGTTAAGATGGAAGATTAATTAGTTTGAGTTTTACTTTAATGAAAAATTAATGCAAAGTGTTTCATATTCTACTAAAACTTATCCTAGACTGTTGCTTTATAACATCTGACAATATTTTTTACCATATCCATGGTGACTCCTTTACTGCATTTTTCAGATAAACTTCTTGCGGAATAAACACAAAATTCATATCCAAGGAACTGATCTTCCTGACCCAATTGCTACATTTCAGCAACTTGAACAAGAATATAAAATCAATTCTCGACTGCTTCAGAACATTCTAGATTCAGGTTTCCAAACACCTACACCAATCCAAATGCAAGCCATTCCAGTTATGCTGCATGTGAGTATGAAGGTCTAGAATGCCTCTGACATTCCTGTGTTTGCTTATTCTCTTTTCTCTGCCTTTGAAATCTGCCTTTCTACCTTATTTCCTCCCCCTGTTGAAATCTTTACCTTGCTTTTAAGGTCCATCTCCAATGCCTGTGCTTTTGAAAACTTGTCTTGATCACTACAGCTAGATGTGATCTTTTTCATTTACCAATGCTCCCCTATCACCCAAGTCTCCATGGTACTTAGTGTGTTCTTTTTCTTGCAACATTTGTCTTATACTTCACACTACTATGTATTGCACTAATTATATTTTTTTTTCCTTTTACTATAGTGTAAACACTCTGAGAGATTATGTTCCGTTTATTCATCCATGATTTAGTTTATAATTTCCAGGAACTATTTCAGAAATACAGAATTGTTGTACTAACCTGACTGGTTTTTCCTCAATACTTTTTATTATTGAAGTATACTTTATATACAATAAAATACATAGTTAAATGTACAGTTTAGTGAGTTTCAGTGATGCATATCCTATGTAACCATCACCCCAATGAAGAGATGTAACATTTTTATTGCCCCAGAAAATTCTCTTGTGCCCTTTCCATTCTGTCCTCACTCCACCCCTGCCCGGAGGTAACCACTGTTCTGATTGCTATTGCCATATATTAGATTTGCCTCTTCTAGCATGTGATATAAGGGGAATCATTCATTATTTCATTTCTGGTTTCTTTCACTTTGCATACTGTTTTTGAGACTCATCTATGTTACATACATCAGTAGTTTGTTACTGAGTATAGTCTGTTGTATGAATGTATCACAATTTGCATATCCACCTATTGATAGATGTATGGGTTAACCTAGATTTTTGGAAATTAAGTTTTTCTAAGGTTTCTTTTGGTAGTGATGATAGCTACCTTTTCCCCCTACAAAACCAAGATGGCCTTCATTTCTGGTAGTTATAGGATACCATACTGGTCCTCTTCATTTTCTTTGAGAACTGAAATGAAAATACATTTGAATTATGTTGTTGATGCATAGTAACTTTGCTTTTAATTTTCATTTAAGATTATTTCTGTCATGACTTTAGCTTAAAGCTTTAAAAATCACAGTGACTTACTGAAGATTGTCACCTGTTAATTGCTCTGTCACTCAGGTTATGGCCACTTTTTCTTTCTTTCAGCCATTTTGTTACTTATTTAAAACCTTCCTCAGGGAGTGAGCAGTGCAGATATCAGCACAAAATGTTGGTTTTGTAATTTTGCATTGATAAAGAGTTTAGTGGGAAAGAACAATTGAAATAATGGAAATAATTGAGGTTGAAAATTATCTTTGGATTTGTTATCCACATTCTTTACCCAGTTCGAATGGATGTCAGTGGCAGTGCTCAGAAACTCCATTGTGGTGATGGTGGCAGGGGTAGATAATGTTAGAAAAGCAAATATAAGAGAAGTTAGACAAGTGATGAAAACATGGATGATTGGATTTATCACATACATTTTTATGGCTGAGAGCATTATTTGTTCACTGGTTAATTTAATATACTCTGTTTTTAGGGTCGAGAACTTCTGGCTTCTGCTCCTACTGGTTCTGGAAAGACTTTGGCTTTTAGCATTCCCATTTTAATGCAACTGAAACAACCCACAAATAAAGGCTTCAGAGCCCTGATTATATCACCAACACGAGAACTTGCCAGCCAGGTATGACCGCTCGCTTCTGAAGAGGATGTTTTGGTGTTTGCTTCAGTCATCTTTCTTATTTGGGGGTAATAGAAAGGTCTCAAAAGAATAAGGCCTGTGTCTTTTGTCAGGTCAGGTATTCTGTACAGAGCCCATTTCTATGTCTTATTGCATATGGGCAAATATTTTCTAAAATATGATGTTAACATTTGTACTTCTTTGGTGAATGCTCTAAGATCCTTGAAGTTGAAAGGCTACTGTAATATACAGTCATTCTAAACTTTATTTTTCTCACCTAGAAAAATGAAAATTCATTTAAGTTTTTGAGAAAGTAAAACTATACAATTATATGCTCCACCCTTCATGTGCTTAATGTGAAATACATGCCAAGTATGAAATAGTTTTATAATAGTACTATATTCTAAAAACAATAAGTAACAGATTGGATGAGTTTTGTTTTTTTCTGTTGAAAATTGTTTATTAGACCTGAAGAAATTACTGAATCTTACTAGGCATTGAAGTTCCAAACTGCTGAGATTCCAGGTTAATCTACACATTAGTACAGGTTTAATTTCAGATATTTATGGAGTTGTAAAGGATTTATTTTTTTAATAATGTAAATGAGATTATACTTCTTATTCAGGTATTTTAGCAGATGATGTTTTTATCATTTTCTGTTATAGACTCATCGAGAGTTAGTAAAAATATCTGAGGGAATGGGATTCAGAATACACATGATCCACAAAGCAGCAATTGCAGCCAAGAAATTTGGATCAAAATCATCTAAGAAATTTGGTAAGGGATTCATGCTTGAGATGTAGAGCATGAAGGGGATTTAGAAATTACAAATATCCTAATTGACACCTAAAAGTTTTTAAAGTGTAGTCATGCATATAATTTGATTTTTAGAGAAGCTAAAAGAGATCTCCCTGCTCCCATCCAGTAGTTATATAAATATATACTAGTGATTCTCAACCAAAGGCATTTTGCCCTCCACCCCCACCTCACCCTTCAGGGATATTTGGCAATATCTGGAGACATTTTAAATTGTCACACCTGGGGCATGGTGCTACTAATCTGTAGTGGGCACAAGCCAGGGCTGCTGTTAAACATCCTACAATGTACAAGACGGCCCACTACAACAACAGAGTTTTCTGGTCCAAAACGTCAATGTGCTGGGGTTGAGAAATCCTCCTTTATACTAAATGCCATGGAAATACTCTTGTCGACAAGAATAGCTTACATCCCTACCTTTATGAGTCAGAGGATCTGCTTTTTACCTATCTTGTATCTTGAGCTTCTGAGTAAAATTCCATTTAAAGAAGGATTTTCCTGGCCTGGCTAGTGTGGCTCAGTTTGTTGGAGCATCGTCCCATACACCAAAAGGTCTCAGGTTCCATTCCCCATCAGGGCACATACCCAAGTTGCAGATATGATACCTGGTCAGGGTGCCAGGGTGTGTACGGGAGGCAATCGATTGATGTTTCCCTCTTACATCGATGTTTCTCTCCCTTTCTCTCTCTGTTATCAATAAAAACATATCTTTAGGTGAGGATTAAAAAAATAATGATAGAAAAGCATTTTCCTTGAAAAACATGTTTGAAAATCAAGCTGTTGGATTATAGTATTCTTGCCTCTTAGAAGCTGAGAGGACAGATCAAATATAATACAGAAGGGATATACTAGTTTGTGCTAGGATGGATAAAAAAAATATGTATGTTAGCTTACTGACAGGGAAGAACTTTTGTGTTGGTGTAGTGAGTATGACCACTGCCTCCTCACTTCAGGTTATTAACTGAAAATTCAGGAGCCTTAATTTTCTAGTTCAAGAGGGATGAAACTTGTCTTTGCAATTTGTACCATTTGTTTTTTCTGTAGATATTCTTGTAACTACTCCAAATCGACTAATCTATTTATTAAAACGAGATCCTCCAGGAATAGACTTAACAAGGTACAGGTGATATTTTAATGTCTTTTATATGTGCTTTTCTTTTAGTTGATTATATTTTGTCCTCAATTGTTTGTATAGTTGCCCTTTGGAGCTTACTACCTACCAGCTTTCAGTAAATGTTGGTACTGAGAATAATGGTTTCATTAAACTTACAGGAAAATAACTATCTGGTCTGGAAGAAAGTCACAGATTCTCATAAGCAGTTAGCACAGAATTCCCCTAGATTTTCAGCAGTGGTGATGGAGTTTATCAGGTTTATGTGGATCTCTGTTTTTTGCTAATGGAACTTCATATCTTGGAGGCTAATGGAATAGTTACATTAATTTATGTTTATCTTACTTTACCTTTCCTTGCTTATTTTTCTTGTACCTTTTTGTGATAATGGTATGTGGGTCTGAGAAGCAGCATTATGGTTTGACTTCTTCATGTGTCCCTACAATTTAGTGAAATGTCTTGGATCTTCTAGTTTAATACCCACAAGTTGTCTTGTTATTTCTTAGTGTTGAATGGCTGGTAGTAGATGAATCAGATAAACTATTTGAAGATGGCAAAACTGGGTTCAGAGACCAGCTGGCTTCTATTTTCCTGGCCTGCACATCCCACAAGGTCAGAAGAGCTATGTTCAGTGCAACTTTTGCATATGATGTTGAGCAGTGGTGCAAACTCAACCTGGACAATGTCATTACTGTGTCCATTGGAGCAAGGTAATTGTTCTGCATTATCCCAGTTTGGGGGGGGAGGGAGTGTTTATTTCATTTACTTGGAATTTCAGGTGGAGGGAAGCAAAAATTGGCTCTTGCAAACTATAAGGTATGTTTTCTTCTCAGGAATTCTGCAGTAGAGACTGTAGAACAAGAACTTCTCTTTGTTGGATCTGAAACGGGAAAACTTCTAGCTATGAGAGAACTTATTAAAAAGGTATATTTCCAACTAATCTTTTTGATAAAGTTCACTAAGCCTTATATTATTAGTGGGAGGCTGAGCACTATACCTATATCATATTTACTAATCCAGTGGTAAATTGTTAAGTACTTTGGGCCAGCTCTTCTCCCAAGGTGGAGAGGTTCCACCATTCAAATATAGTAAGCTTCCTATTCCCAGCTCGGTAAGCTAGGAAAAGACCTACCTGATGCCCTGAAAGCCTTTTTCCACAACTGCATATGTATCTGCCCTCTGCATCTCTTGTCCCCTTCCCCAGTTTCTCTGCTGCTTTCTTATTGAACTGGGGCATTGTAGAATGAGTAGGACAATTTTCTGTTTGTATCCCTTCAGTAAATATTGAATAGAAGCCATAGTTAAAAGGCTACATACTGAAGGGTTGCGGGGAGGCTATTGAAATATAAGTCCTAAGCTCTGCCCCTAGAGTTTAGTCTTCTTTAGGAGCTAAAATAAAGACACTTGTGTAAGATAGTTTGTGATAAAGTGCCATAAAAGGTTATAGAGTGCTTTTCTCAAATACTCATATAGTTATAATGGGGCCATAAGGGTGAATTGAATTGGTTGGGGGAAAATGCTACTAATCTGGGCCTTGAAGGACTTGTGGGATTAAAAAGTGAAGTATTAGTGGCAGGAGGAGCAGCTGTTGTAAAGTCTCAGAGTTGGAGCTGAATACATTGAATGTGTTTGGAGACTAATGAAGAAGTTACCTAAGGAGAACATTTATAGTGGAATTAAAGATAATCAGTTTGGACAGGAGAGTTAGGGTCAAGGTAAGAGAAACCACTGAACATTGTTGAGTGTGGCCACATAATTTTTAAGGACAATTAAACAGTGGTATATAAGGTGGGTGGTAATGAAAAGAGATTGAAAGTGAACCAATTAGCAGGCTATTAAGTTAGGCTGGTTAGACATAAGGAAGAAATAAATAAAGGTGAGAGCCTTAGTGGAGGATTAACAGTAGTTGGAGGATGAACAGGAAAGGTGTTTGCAAGTACCTGGTGACAACAGGAGCGGTTAAGAGTGTTGACTCTGGAGCCAGACTACCTGGATTGAAATCCTAGCTTTAGGCAAATTAAGCTCTGTTCCCCAGTTTCCTCATCTGTAAAATGGGGGTAATAATATCTACCTCTTACAGTTGTTTCAGTATTAATGAGTTAATACACATATAGTACTTATAATAGTGGTTGGCAAATAATAAATGCTATGTGTTAGTTTTAAAAATATTCTTAAGGGCGTCATTTAGCAGTAGGAAATACAAGGTTTTTCACAGATACATAGGATTATACATGAGCTTTAGATTTGTGAACGTTCTAAAATCATGTTAGATTTTGTGTAAATGTGTGGTTGCCTATTAGAAAGTTTCATTGCTTTCATTAGATTCTGAAAATTGTATGAACCAAAATAAAAAGATTAAGCCCTAATATAGACAGTTGAAAATATACAAAGTTGGTTTAGAGAGAGGCAGAGTATGATATAAATGTAAAAATCATTTGCTTAGAGCTGGTAGTTTATAACTGAGACTTTAATAAGATAAATATTATATTGAGAGAACTTCGAACCAAGATCTGAGCTTTCGGGGAATACCCACAGTTAAGATAGATAATGAATTAAAAACACAGTCATTACATTTTAAGTAGAATCAAAAAAGTTCTGAGGCACAGAGGCCGAGAGATTATTATTTCAAGCAATAGGAATCCATTGCTGTAGAAAGGTAAAGGGGTTAATTAGACAAGATCATTGGAATTTTCAAGATGGAGAGTACAGTTCAAATTGGTGGAAAGAATTCATTATAGAGAAGGGATGATGAGGAAGGTAGGCAGATTAGACCACTGGTACTAGAAATTTGGCAATGAAAGTACACTACATTGAATTGGATTCTTTTATGAACTAAAATAGTATAAAATACTGTGATTATATTCTTAATTATGGGTTATGTGTACTGATTATTGCATTTCTTTTTAGGGTTTCAATCCACCTGTTCTTGTTTTTGTTCAGTCCATTGAAAGGGCTAAAGAACTTTTTCATGAGCTCATATATGAAGGTATTAATGTGGATGTTATTCATGCAGACAGAACACAGGAACAGGTAAAGTCAGATGTATACTCTCAAAATGATAACTAAATTTTAAAAATGTTTTCCATTCCTAGAGTGGTACTAAAACATTTACTATATGTTCTGTTAACCAGAGAGATAACACAGTCCAAAGCTTCCGAGCAGGAAAAATCTGGGTCCTTATTTGTACAGCCTTGCTAGCCAGAGGGATTGATTTTAAAGGTGTGAACTTGGTGATCAACTATGACTTTCCAACAAGCTCAGTGGAATATATCCATAGGATCGGTGAGTGGTCCCCTGCCTCCACACTCATCCATTTTAGCACGTGTGCCATTCCCTACAAACATGATCAGTTTTTTAGTGCTGTGAAAAATCCACTTTTATATGTGAATTTGGAATGTCTCTTTTCCCCAAAAAAGTGTTTTTTAATGGTCTGGCTTTTCTTAGGTCGAACTGGAAGAGCAGGGCATAAAGGAAAAGCTGTTACATTTTTCACTGAAGATGATAAACCATTATTAAGAAGGTAAATTAGGAAAAATAACTTCGTGTTAAGTTGGCAACGTTGATTCATTATTCTTATATGTATACACAGTTAACAGATAATTACAAAACATCTTTGTCCAAAATTCTGCTATAGTAGTCAACTAAATTTTAGCAATGAGAAAAGGAAAAATGACCTAAAGGCCTTATTTTTGCCTTTCGATTATTGTCTATATATATAAAAGCCTAAGCGATCAGAATGACCAGAACAACCAGTTGTTATGATGTGCACTGACCACCAGGGTGCAGATGCTTAATGCAAGTGCTGCCCTGTGGTGGTCAGTGCACTCCCACAGCCAACCTCCCTCGACTGTCCAACCTCCTGTGGTCGCTCCCCACAGCTGGCAGGCCGCTGGGCTGGGATGGGGAACCAGGGATGGGTGATGGCAGATGCAGCCCCTTTGCCAAGGGCCGGTGGCCAACCTCCCGTGCCATGTCCCTCCCCCCAGCCGGCAGGCCCCAATCAACTCACCGTCTGCCTGCTGCGGTGGTGGCACCATAGTGAGGGGAAGGGGGGGGGGGGCAGGGAACTGTGGTTGTGGGGGCACGGACGATGGTGGCATCGGCAGCTGGCATTTGTTCCTTCTGCGCCCAGCCCGGTGACCATCGCCTCCTCTCCGGCCTGGCCCCAATCAGCCCTGGTCGCCAGTTAGGCCTAGGGATCCCACCTATGCATGAATTTCGTGCACCAGCCCTCTAGTTTGTTAATAATAACAAATATTCCAAAATTCTCATAACTCAGAATTCTCCCAATAGCCACCAGTTGAAATTATTTACAATGTAATATTATGGTTTTTGAATGAGTAATAGTTTAAAATTAACCCCAGTCTCTTTAGCCCCATCAAGATTCTTACTATAGTGCATCCTTCCCATTACTCTTAGGGGCAGATAAAGTTTTATATTTAGTCGCAGGAGCACACGCCAATATTATTCAATTGTAGCCCCTTGAGGCCTGGATAACATATGATAGATATAATTTTAGAATCATGGATTTTAATTTAGCCTATTATAGATACTAATATAGAGGTTGAGTTTCCTACATTTTGGCTGCCTGCAGAAAATTTAGCCTGATGATAATCAGTAACACATCACATTTCTAACAGTTGAAATTGAGTTGTGGCCCTTACTGGTTTGGCTCAGTGGATAAAGCATTGGTTTGAGGACTGAAGGGTCCCAGGTTCAATTCCGGTCAGGGGCACATACTTTGGTTGCAGGCTCCTTCCCGGCCTGGGCCCTGGTTGGAGGCAACCAATTGATGTGTTTATCTCATATCGATATTTCTCTGTCTTTCCCTCTCTTCCACTCTAAAAAAAAAAAAAAAATGAGTTGTGGCTGAAAGCAGTTTGTACTTTGAGTTTATCTGTTTTGGCAAAGATTTTGATTTGTGCTTTCTGAGCCGTGGCTCTGAAAGCCTTGGTTTTGCTTTGAGCAGACTTTCACATGTGCATGTGTAGGGCAGTATGTATTCCAACCACCTAGATTCACCTAAAGTTTCCTCAGCAGCTCCAAGCATGTGAATTTGATGACCCCCCATATCAGTGTAACTATGCACCTCCATTTTTCATCTGAGAAATGGGGATAATGATAATACTAAAAGGGTTGTTGTGAAGATTGAATAAGTTACTATACATGAAAAACCCATAGTAAGTACTATCATTTAATAGATTTAAGCCTGACTCTGGCTTCAGTCAGTTTCTCATCCAAGGTTGAGCTTAGAGGCTTTTTAGGGCTTGATAAAATAAATGTTGAGCAGAAATAGCTGCTGTCTAAAATTATGCATCAATCATTGATTTTAGTCCAGCAGACATTCCGTTAGTAATCCAACGTGATTATATCTGATGGTAATTGATAATACATTAAAATACCGGATTATTTTCTTGCTTGTATAGCTTTAGTTCCTCTTATATTGTGCAGAGGGTGCAACTTCATAAACATTTGTTTGATAAGATACAAATTTATGTTAATGGGTACCTTTTTCAGCGTTGCCAATGTTATACAGCAGGCCGGATGTCCTGTTCCAGAATACATAAAAGGTTTCCAAAAACTATTAAGGTACAGTCTTGAATTTACCAGACCTCCTCTCTTTCTGTCTTTGTATATACATTCTTGCTTTCACATTCTTACACATAGTTTTAACAATACTACTAACTTTTAGAACATTTATGATAAAAATTTTCCTTGTAAAATTTTTGTGAATACTGTATGTTTTTTAAACCTTGCTAGTTTTCTCATCCTTGAAATTTTAAGTATTTAGACTTTTTAAAAAAATTACTCAATATGAGTGAAATATATTTGGATTTTGTTTTAGTTCATAAAACTGGTAAAAAGCAGTTAATTGGCCAAAATCACACTCTAATGCTTATTGGCACAGAATATAAGGCTGACATGGGACATATTTTAGCCATAATCACTGCCTTTTAAAATTGATTGAATTTACCATCCCTTTTGGTTACCTCTGTAAATGCTATTAGGTAATCTAGTATATAAAGTGGATACAAGTGTGGATAAATCAGTGAGCAGATAAAAAATGAACTTTGTGACAAGAATCAAAATTAGTTTTAGCTTTAACTTTTAAATTAAGTTACACTTCATTTAGTTCTTTCCTCTCTTTGTAACTTTCAGCAAACAAAAGAAAAAAATGATTAAGAAGCCATTGCAAAGGGAGAGCATTAGTACAACTCCAAAATACTTCTTAGAAAAGGCTAAGGATAAACGGTAAGTAAATGGTGAGAAAATTAACTGGTTGTTTTCATAATATAATTATAGTAGGCATTACTTTT